TCCATAGGGGTGGAGGGGCAGCTGTTTCCCCTGGGATCCTTCATGTGCGGGTGCTGCGGGTGGAGAAACAGCTTCAACAGCATGACTGTTTACAAACTGGATCAACCTCCTGCCATGGCCAAAAACCTAACCAATCAGGTGCCAGATTTCAAATGGGTCTTATCTTTTTAAGTTTAGCTCAAACAGATCTACTACTGCCCCTTGTGGTTAGTCAGTAACCACTGAGATAAAACCGAATGATTTAAATTGTGTCTGAATTTAGATTTACCTCAGTGACACGAAATGCCCACAGAAGGCAGTGTGGACCAGCAGCCCCTGTGTCTCTGTGAGCTAGAACCATGGACTCTGGTGTACCACAGTGTGGGGGCTTTCATTTCTTTGGTTTCCTGTCAGAAAATGTAGTTTTACATTGAGGTAAAGCAGTGAACAGGTTTTAAAATAATTAAATCATTAGCAAGCTGAGCTTGATCGTAAAATGTGCATTTCACACATTTTTGAGGAAACCATTTTAGCATTTGCATAATAAAATTTCTCTCCAGCTTTTAACCGCATTTTCCTCACTTTAACTGTGTCAGCATTCCACATCACTTCACACTGAAACTCCCTCCCCCCCAAAAGCTGAACCACTTCATTAATGCAAACTAAGACCTTGTCACGGAGCCTCGGAAAAACATGTTCTGTTCTTCATCCTCTTTTCTGTGCCGGCCCACGGCCCTGAGTCCTGCTGCAGCTTCTCTGTGGGAAAAACAGCCATTGTTTGGGTCTGGGTGCGTCTCTATTTTACAGCTGTGCATGACTGATTGTGTGAGGCAGAAGGAACCAGGAGGAAACAATGAACACACCAGTTTAGATCCTATTGATCTGCTCGCTGTCTGTCTGTGTCCGAGCAGCTGCAGCAGGAAAACAGACAAGTACGTCTGACGGACGGACGGACGGAACATTCCTTATGTTCTTTTGGCCAATATCTTTCTATTTTTGCTTCACATTTGCCCAACACTGTGTGTTTTCTGAACTAACCTTCACTAACAGCTACAACTTTTTTAACACCTTGTAGCTTTTTGACAGCTTTTATTCGTTCTCTCTCAAATTTAGATAATCTGTTACATTTATTCTGATCTGATTTTCTTACACTCTCCTTCGTCTTGTTTTGCTTCAGTAAATCTAAGCTGTCATTCTTTCTTTCTTTTCTCCAAGAAATAAGAACCAGATATTTTATTTTGTCTAAATCCTAGTATACACACTTGGTTCTTAAGAAAACAGGTTTTTAATAGATTATTGTTCAACAGCTCATCACAGCAGTTTCACTTTTTAATAAAGATGAAAAAGAGCCTGTGTTCTGTGCGAAGATGATGATGGATTATCATCCAGGTCTGTTGTGGTGGTGGGATTAACACATTTGTTTTCTTTAAAGGTGTAGGCTGGAAACAGCATCTGTGTTTTTTATTAAACCTATTCATCAAAAGAATACGTCTTAGAGATCTGCACTTGTATTTGACAGCTTTTATGAATCAAGGCTAAACAGACAATCGACACTCGCAGTAAAAGAGTCTTTACTGCTGTGATCAAGTTAAATCTGTGAAATGGAGAAAAATGTTCAGCGAGGAAGGTCATTTCAGAGTTTCTGGATTCCGACTCTGCAGAAGACACAGTTTTTCTGCTGTCAGATTAAAAATGATGTTGACAGGGCAAACTCGGAATGAGCTGCCGACGGCCACAACCTTTTAAATGCAGCACAGAAAAAATTGCTTTTCAACATCTCACTCACATAAATGTCGGAAACAAGTACACAACTCTACACAGGTACACATTTTTAAAAATGCACTGCAATAAATATCAGCTGGGATTAAAAGTCAAGAGTAAAAATAGGTCAACGTACATGATATGTAGACTGTGATAATTAATCACTGAATCATAACATCCACTGTTTCAGTTTTCTGTGCTAAGTAAGGCCTAAGAATGACCAGAGAATAAAATATATACTTTGTTTTTAATCTTTGAGTTACGTCAAGCTAATCAACCCAAAAGATGCTCTATTTTATTATTTTTCTTGAGCTAAGATAAAGTAAGCTGGGCTAAATATCACAAGAATTGGCTAAATCTGCTAAATCTGTTCTTGCTAAGCTAAATGAATACATGAGATATTTGCATTTGTTTTTGTGCTCAGCTAAGCTAACTTAATTTGTCTATTTATTGTGCTAAACTTATACTCAGAGCATGTAATAAATGATGCCCCTTGGTCTCAATCTCGTGCTGTAATTTTGCGTACTTTTAATCAAATGTTGTTACTTAAATGCTAACACACCCGTCCTAATGCTATAAGCCTCATGCTATACTATCTTACCTTTATTGCATTTTTATTTTATTCAAATTTCCAATCAGGTTTTGTTAACCAATTTTTAAAATGCCACTAAAAGCCACAGTGGGGAGATGACTTGAAATATTTGAAAGGTAATTTTCACAGGGCTAATGCTAAGTTTGCCTTCTGTAAAGGTTCCGGCCCACAACATTCCACCTAACAGTCTCAGAGGTAATTGATTTGTGGACTGGGGTGAAGGATCGAGTGTCACTGCCACTACCTAAAAAAAACACAGCTGGAAATCATAAAATCAACCCTGGGAGTCTGGTGGCGGAAATGTCTCGCAGCACATCTGTGATGGATTCATTAGCTCACTTCACTTCTCCTTCATCCAAACATGGTTGCTTTAAATGAGGGTGCGCTGCAAACTGCTGAAGACCAGTTTGGCTGCCAGATCTGTCCACTCCCTGGGACTGGGTCAGACCAGAGGGAGTCCAGGCTCATTAGAGAATGTGGGACAGGCTGAACTCTGTCTATTTCAGCTGTAGTTTAAGGTTCAACAGGCTCTGAGATGTTGGATTCAGTTGGAGGTTCAGGGTCAGAACATGGGGCCTATTAAAGTTCTGCCGCTGAAATGTTTGAAGGTGTAAACACATGTGAACCAACAGCTGCACTTTCTGACACGTTAACATGGGATCTGCTCTGTCTACAGAACGGCTGCTTTGACTTTTTACTGGTCTTCTAAATTGAATGATGATCAAACTCCTCGTGTGTGTGTGTGTGTCTGCTGACTAAAGTATACAGAAAGGACTCTCTAAAGAGAGTGAAGAAAGCTTTGAGAAAATGGACAAAAGGTCTTTAAAAAATATCGAGGTAAGGTGTTATGATTAGACGAGACCATGGTTGAACGTCTTTGTGTCAGTTAACTCAGAAGTGACAGTTGCCCCGGGTCATGCATTAGCTTATTCAAATACAAATTCTGCTCTCCAGGATGAAATTATAATTCAATAGTAAAACAAGGAAAAGCTAGAACTTCTTCTACAGCTGCTGTTTGTCTCTAGACATCATGGAGGACAAACGCAAACATTTCCAGGGACTCATTTAAAACCACTGTCAATAAAATGTTCATCCAGTCATCATGCAAAAAACCCAGCTTCCACTCCCACTCATGAAGGTGAAGTTAGAGTCCTGTTTTGGAGAGCAGTTGTTCACGGTTGACTAAGAACACTTTTGTCAAGTAAAATGTCTTTGGTTGACAATGTGAAATTTAATATTCTAACGTCACTCTTTTATACTGAAACACCTGGCATTTAAACAGGTTTGGGGAGACCCTTTAATATGTTCTGTGTAATTGAGCATTTTTCAAAGTGTAGACATTTATTTTTCACCTGTCAGTTCCATTTTCCTGCCGCTGACAGCCTCATACATCTACACGCCAGCGTACAGTACATGTAGGATGAAGTCACCACATGATGTATAGGACTGCTGTTTGAGGAAAAGCAGTTTCACGCTCGACAGGCCACATCTGGGGGGGTGGGGGGGGAGGATGGAGGCGCATTCACATACGACACAGTCTGCTGCCAACGACACAGCAGTGTTGGACCAGAAGTTCTGTCGTTTGACTCACAGAGGGCTTTTTGTTCCGCTCGGCTGCCACAGAATCTGCTGTTCGCTCTGATGCGGAGGCAGCCTGGGACTGAAGTCCAACTTGTTTTTTATCCTGAGAAAGCTGAATGTTGACACTTTGTAGAGTTAATGCTGAGGTTCTTTACCTTGTTGTAGAAAAAAGTGCTTTGTGTAAAACCACAATTGTGATGGAACTAGAATTACAGACTTGGGATCTGATGTGAGAAGACAGAGGAATACATCATTGTAAATGCAGACTCTATAATCTTCACTCTGAGTGTATAAACTTGTCCTAAACACATCGTTATTGTACTATTGTACAATCAGAAATGATCTCAGTGATAACTGGAACAGGGAGATTAAAGGAAAACAAACACATTTGAACCACTCGTCACTTTAAATCTCTCTCAGCTTGAGGCTACAACTTAAAAGAATGCCTTTGTTGTTTTTTTTCTTCCTGTCAACAGAAAACTATACTATATAATATTTTACAGTGAAGGGTAAATCCTCCCCCTCCAAAGGGAGTATTTTTACTAAATTCTAACATTTCTGCAGTGTATTTCTCAGTATTTCTGAAAAGTGTAGAGAGCGAGAAGCTCATTCTGATCAACAAGAAGTTTTCTCTGGTCGTTCTGGGGATTTTAATTCAGGAATTAAGGAGTATAAATTCTAATCTGGCTTGTGAACCTGGACACGGTCATGGGTGGAGCCGCCTCCCAGGGGTTGGAAACAAATCCTTCATCTCCTGGCTGAATAGGTGCAGCAACCACACTAGCATGGTGGTCATTACGTGGCACACGCCCCTTATGTTTTAAATGTTTTAAAAATGTATACCTGGGGAACAAACCTGAAAACTCGAAGACATGGCAGCATATTAAGGGCAATAAAGTAAATGTTTACACCTGCCTAAAACATTTGCTACCGCAGCAGTACTGTACATGTACGAAAAGTAACTGTTTACATAAGCCTTTGTAGAACTTGTACTACTTATCTGTACTCTTTGGGCCTCCTTTGAGAAAACGGTGTGTGAGATGTGAGATGTTTTCACCCTCCCCTTCCCCAAAAGCACAAAACAGAGTTCTATTTATTTTGCAATGACATTTATTTTCAAACAGGAAATGAAAACATTTAAATAAATACTGCAGCGCAGACATTCTGAGGCTGAAACTTGAGCACATACACATTCAAAAAAATAACAGATGGTGTCAGAAGTGGTGTTTAAAGAGAAGGTAATGGTAGGGGATTTACATTAAAAAAAGTGCATGAATAACTTTAAAATATGAACATTATTAATTGCACTGCTATTTGGGGGAAACTAAGATTTTCATTTTTGGACTTTTACTTACACTACAGATCAGGTTTGTCAAAGTCCAAATAAAAATCAAACAAACAAAAATACTGGACTTTTTATGCAAGAAAAATAAAGTGGACCATTATTAGTTAAGACTAATTTAAAAGGCAAAGAGCCAGAAAGGCCCACATCTGACATCTAGAATTTGGGCCACATCCTGACTTAGACCAAAGGTAGTCTTCTCCAGAACAAAAGAAAATCCTTCTGGATACTGAATGTCTGGTCCAGTTCATGGACAGAAGCACAGAAACCCATATGTGGGCCACACTCTCTTCTAGACTGTGTTGGAGTGGACAACAGCATCTTGTCCAACATGAATGAAGCCTAATGTGTGTGGGCCATGTGTAGATTGGGCCACAGCTGGTTTGGTTGTTTGTTTGTTGTTCTTCCAGTTGTTGTTTTTCCTCGTTGTCCTTCAGCTCCATCTTTGTCTTTATGGATCTGATCACGATCGGTCAATTTGTCTAAAACTTTAAATCTAACAATGACACAGTTACACACCAATGACTTCACATTATACTGACAATGAAACAATGACAGGACACACACACACACACACACACAGCTTCAGGTTCTCTTTGTGCAGGACTCGAGACATCGGTCTTCTGAACTTTAGGAGAGTCACCACGAGAGTGAGGAGCAGGAGTTACATCATTCTAAACCGCTTCAAAGAGTTTCTTGAATCCATCACAAACAACAAACACAGCTCCTGCTTTTCCTTTTTTTTTTAATTCTTCACAGGCCTTTAAAAATCCTTATCCTAGTATTTGATTCCCATTCACAAAGATCAGAGTTTTTTCCTCTGACGCACCTCCTTTACGAACCAGGATCTTCCATTTCCTGTTGGCGTCAAAAGCCTCCGGTTTGTCCTTTTTGTCCTTCCACAGGAAGCAGGTCACTTCCTGTTGCAGGTGGCGCTCTGGCAGATAGCTTCCTCCTCTGAAAGGGCAGGGGGTTGGGATGCTACTATGCGGTAAGTATTCCAGTAACACGTACATGAAGTGAAGCTTATTGAACCCTCTTCTAGACTAAAAAAAGGGCTTTAGAGCATGCAGGAAAGAGCGCCGCTCCCAAAGCTTCCTGCTAACACTGTGCTCCGTCCTCGTTCTCCCCAGTCTAACCATGTCCTCCGTACCATTGGTCACATAACGGAGCAACTTCTGGCTTTGTCCTTCCTTAGGTCTGAGGCCACGGCGCCCAAGTCGGGCCGACCGGGCATGTGTGAAATCCTCTTGTTAGCACGAGTGGTTTTACTGCGTTTGACGTTTTTGTGGTTTTTGTTGATGCAGGCCAGTGTGGCCACGTGGAAAATGTCTCTAACGCTGTTCTCCGACTGCTGGGCTGAACACTCGATGTAGGGAGCAGAGATCTGTTTGGCCATGTTGGACCCCTGAGGAGGAGGCAGCAGAAACAGAGGTCAGAGGTCAGATTAGCTAAAGGTCAAAGAAAGGGGCCATACTTTGGTGTCCACAGGTTCAGGGACTCTGTCAAGAAACATCAACAGCTGCTAACACCAGAGGCTAATGGATCATTAGGCACTCATTTCTCACAGCCTTTGTGTTTATATGAACATTTACAAACATAAAATGAACAGAAGTTCACCTCAACGACCTCAAAGTGCAGAGGTCACGACCAGCCAGGTCTGTATGACCTGTTTATCAGGCCACTGGGAATCTGAGTCTGTTGTGACAGTTCCCAGGGACAGAGCTAAAACCATCTTTGAATTTATATCTTCTGTAGAGCTTCTCGTGTTCTAGATTTTCTTTAAATATTTAAAGAAAAAAAAGGGCAACAAAACAGGAACTGAAACTGTGCACAGATAAAAAAAGGACCCTGAACTTGAACTATAGTTACAAATGAAATAATCTTCACCTAAAAACAACTTAACTAACATACAAATATTCATCTTCTGTTATTATTTAAAGTTTTATTTCTGTGTAAAATAGATCCTAGTAGATACTAGTCTTAGTGACTTAATATCCCTGTAACCGTCTCCCAGGATGCATACAGTATGACACAGACATCTGTGAAAGAGTAAATGCACCAGATTGTGAAAACAATCACCTTCACTGCAGACCACAAGTCAGAATTCCTCAAAAAGTGACACCTACATCTGAAGAAATCTGTGTCTGAGCCACACAGTCCAGCTGCTCACCTGGTCATAGGAGACTGGAGTCTGTCTGTGGTTGGACAGTTCCACCAGTGTGCTCAGGTCAGTCCTCAGGTCAGACTTACAGCCAACCAACAGCATCTTAGTGTTGGGACAGAACTCCTGGATCTCACCCTTCCACTGGGAAAAGCAGAGACAGACAGACAGTCATCAGACGTCACCAGAGAGATGGAGCGTACGTTTTATTATAAACACATTTGAAGCTACTTTTACAATGTATACAGCATTAAAGTAACTCTTCTCCAGGTTGTTTTAAGTCCAGAGTCTTTCTCGGGTCACTTTCTGGACTAATCTAAAATGAAAAAAAGTTTGTTTTCACCAATGGCAAATGACTGCAAAATGTGGAAACAGAATTTTGAACAAACATCCATGACTTTTTGTGCATGCTCAAGACCCAGAGTCTGCTGTAGCATCATCCACAAGTACAGAGTACAAAGGTTAACACTGCCACTTCCTGCGGCCAATCACATGTTAGACCTCGGAGAGAAAATACAAATAATCCCCACATTTCCGTTCCTCAGAACAATACAGCCTCTGTGATCGATGGCATTTTCTCCCCGGGCTTTAATCTCAGGCTAATGTGCCTCAGGACCGCCTCATTGGCCGGTCAGCAGATCAAGTTCATCTGCAGCCAGACGGAAAGTAATTTTCTGCAGAACCAAACAAACCCAATCACAGACTCAGACCTGAGCAAACATTCTTTAAAACAAACAGCGTCAGAATCATTCTGCCCCTGAGTGACCTGTTCTCACAAGGTCTGCCAGTCAGTGCCCATACCGTCAGCCCTGATCACATGACTAGACCAAGGAATGATACAAATGTGACTGTGTTTTGGGGTTTTTCAAGATTGCATGACAACACATCTCTGCAATGGTTCTCACAGATCTGAGTGTTGCACATCAACCGCATGTTGGCGACTGAAGTGCTTCCCAGGAAAAAGATCCAAAGAGCTGCATCACTGACACTGAGAAGGAACAGATCAAGATTCACATATTGAAGTTGTGTCTCTCCTACACCAGGTAACGAGGTTCTATCAAGATAACACAGAACAGCAGTTTGCTACTTTACTGTTTACAGCGTCTTTACACTCAGACTGACACTGTAGTGACTGTTCTGTGTACGAGGAGCTAAAACAGGAAGAAAATGGAAGGTTTTGTTTCTGTAAAAATTCTCAGGAAAGGTTTTCTAACAATCATATGACACTCACACTCACACAGTGTCCTGCTTCATAACCACTACACGCTCTGACGCGTGGTAGTCATCAGACGTTGACCCTCAGTGACTTGATGTGAGCAGTGTTGTGAAGTGAAGAGCGTTACTTCTTCCTCACAGCCTCCGCGGGGATTAGACCCCGTGACCTTCTCCTCAACAAACTACAACTTCACACGCCAGATCTGATCAGAGACAACAAATATAGGGAGTGGGACCCCGAGGTACTCACCTTCTTCAGCACACTGTCCAGGGTCTCAGGGCGGCTGATGTCGAAGCAGATGAGCACAGCGTCGGAGTCTGGGTAAGAGAGAGGCCTCACATTGTCGTAGTACGGAGATCCTGGAGGAAAACCAAACAGACTTTTAGATTTTCTTTAGGTAGTCTTTCACAAGGATAGGACAAAAGCTGTGACTAACTGTTGTCTCCAACACTTAATAAAATAAATCAAATTTGTAATTATGTGCCATTGACAGTGTTCAGATTTATCCAAGTGACACAAACTGACCACTGGAGGCAGCACTGAAGTAGATTTCAAGTTAAATAAAAAAAAAAAAATCCATATTTCCTCTATGAACATTGTAGTGTCTCACAGTGAGTGAAGGCTCTGTACATATTCTTAATATATTATAGATTTAGATGAATGTAGAATTTATGAACCTTTACCAAGTGGTAAAAGGTTTCAGACCGACTGACAAGCAAGTCTGCTGCTAAATCCATCTTTGAGCACGAACATTTGTATTTTAGTGAGGGTCAGAGACCACATCTGTGGAGGCAGACATTTCTGGAATGCACACGAGCACTGCATTTAAACCCTGGAGTATTTCTGACGGTTGTTCTTTGATGACAGCACGAGAAGTTACCCTTAGCAACCAGGCGAAGAAGAAAAACAAACAAGGCAGCAGGCATCAGTAGGAAGAGAAATGTGCTGACTATGAGGAGATGGTTTGTTTGTTAAAGAAATCCTCTGCAAAGAAGCAGAACCTCAGAGCCAGAGCCAGAGAGGAGAAAAAAAAAAAAGAAACTCTCGGCTCAAAATTGAGACCATGTGTGAGGAGACGCCCATTCATCTCTGCAGCAGACTGACAGATCTCCAGAGAGGAAGGGAGACAGGGGTGAGGAGGGTGAGAAAGGGTGGCGTCATGTCAAGGTGGGTCAAGATCACATAAGCAACGAGAGCTGTGACCACACACGAGAAGCTGCCAAGAATGTGGAGCGTTTTGTTTTTGGTAGGTTCAGGTCGACGCCCCTCCACCCAGTCCAGACCAGCTCAGCCAATGGAAATACGACCAACGGCCAAGAAAAGTTATCTAAAAATATAACTCGAAACTAGCCAAAATATGTAGCAAAGTAGACTTAACCTAGCTTAAGATCAGCTTAAAAACAAAGATAGTCAATACGCAGATGATACCTGGAACTTTAGCCAGAGGTGGCGCAAAAAGGTAGCTTAAACTTAACCGGAGGATAAAGGGGCAGAAGCAGAAAAAAGAACTGAAAGTCAAGATTAGAAGAGAGTCAATAAGATTATCCTAGCTATACCAAAACCTATGGCTAAAATGATTAAAGACATAGCTAAACAAAATAGCTAAGTAATGGTCAGGGGCCGATGTCTGTGTCAAGGTGAGTCCAGACCAGAGGAACTGTGAGGTCTGTGACCAAACACAGGAATGTGAAGAGTTTGGTTTTTGGGAAGTAAACGCCTGTGTCTCCCCAATACAGTCCAGACTCCAGGAGGTCGTTTCCAAACACTGCTGTGGAGAGATGTCAGGAATGCACACACACACAGGCACCCTCTCTCTCTCTCTCACACACACACACACACATACACACACACACACACACACACACAGAGCGAGCTCTCATGTTCCTAATCCAAACAGCCTGTGTAGAAGACGTTTACACAATCCTCACTCCACTTCCTTCCAGAGCCAGAGCTGCACAACAAAGCATGACACTAACTGATGAGAGAGTGTGTGTGTGTGTGTGTGTGTGTGTGTGTGTGTGTGTGTGTGTGTGAGCACAGTTGACGTTGTCCTCAAAGATCTCTGAACTGTGACTTTACAAACGTATAAATATAGATAACTTTGAGAAACCCTTACCAGAGATGATTCTGGCCATGCCAAAACTAACGACTGTGTAATAATTACTGCAGGACACGCTGAAACAAACCAAAGACAGAGAGTGAGA